GGGCCCTGGAATGGGGAAGCAGGAAGTGCTCATCATTTTGGCAGGATCCCTAAGAGGTACGGGTACATTTTTTTTTTTTTTTTTTTGGTCATCTTTTGGAAAGAGTGCTTTGTCTTTGCAAGTGATTGTGCAGGGATTGACGGGGTTGCTGTTTGGTGCACTACCTTGCTAAATACTTGACTTTGTAAGGTTGAATTCTCCAAGAATTATCGTGGCAATACGGCCGTGCTTGGAGCCAAGCTTTCCTCTCAAGGAAATGCAAGCTGCTATTTATTTTGGCATGCAGCCTGTTCTAGGATGAAATACGGCGTTTTTATTATTGCAGAATAAAGAGAGGTTTGAAGAGAATAAAAGTACAGAACTAGGTTTCAGTTTCAGGACTAAGTTAAGGAAGGTTTCTTTGTATTTGGATTTGAGGTGAGGAACGAGATTGTAAATGGCATCGTAAACGGAGTAACTGCGGAGGGGGAGAGGGTGTAGGTCTACACTGCAGGAGTCGGGCTGGCTGGGGGAAATCAGGACTGTTCCTAATGTGGCCTGGTAGTTACACGTGGGCTGTCAGAGTGACTGCCTCTTTGGTGGATTTTGAACGGGCAGTCCCCATCCCTTCACTGCCGGTTGGCTTGGAGAGGTGGTGTGGAGGGATGAAGTCGCACAAACTGTCCTACCCCTAGGTAACTGGGTAACTTTGGATCGGCCATAGAACCTCTTTGTGCCTTTGATGTCGCGTTTGTAACTCGGAGGTGCTACCATGAACTGAGTGTCTGCCACATGTTAGGATGTGGGGGTGTGGAGGTGGGGGGTGAAGGGGAAGAGATGAGTCTTGCAGGAATTCTGACCTTCGCAAGCTTACAGAGTAGGAGGGGAGAGGAGCGAGAGAGAGAGAGACAGAAAGCTGAAAGCTGTATATACTTGAAACATCTCGAATATGATGATCCAATGAGAGAGGCTGGGACTGAACGGGGCATTCTTGATCCTGGGATGGGCCATCAACAAATGAAAAGTTACATAACAACACCAGGTAGTATAAGGTTCTGAATACCGAGGATACAACCTAACGGCATTGAGCAATAAATTGCTTTATGTCAAAATTTTTAGTGCTTTAGAAGGTTGTAAAATTCCATTTGAAAGGGGACTTCTGCCCAACAAAGTTAATTTTCATATTCCGTTGTATTGCAAAGTAGCATGTGTTGATGTGGCAATTTTTCTTCAATTCCACTCACCAAATCACACCAAACATACACCCTTAGCTAAATTCTAAGATGTCCACCCCCAGGACCATGCCTGTGGCCCAAGTGCAGAAGGAGGCTGGGGTGGGTGAGGCTGCCAGGGGCGGGATGGGGGCCTGACAGTTCCCTCCTTTCCTGCCTGTGTCTAGACCTTTCCAGTGGAAGCTTGCTAAGCCCTCTTCTTCAGAGAGTTAGGGTGTCAGCTCCATTTAATTTCTGTAACCTTGCAATGATTGATTTTAGTAAAATTCAAGTCTAAGGGAACTATTAGAAGTCTCCATAGAGTTCTTTTTTTTTTAAGATTTATTTATTTATTTGAGAGTGGGGGAGGGGAGGAGCAGAGGGAGCGATCCTACAACCCTGAGATCATGACCCAAGCTGAAACCAGGAGTTGAACACTTAAGCGACTGAACCATCCAGGTGCCCCTCCGTAGAGTTATTTCAGTGAAATTTGACCTAATGTGTGCTGCATAATTATTTGAGGCCCTAGGATCTGATACATTAAGGGCTGAATCCTAACTCAAACCAAAGGCAGTGAGTGTGACTGAACTCTCTGAGGTGAGGTGAGTTTTTGTCAAAGATCCATCTGCACCCAGGTGGCCCCCTCTTGCTTAGAAGGAGCCTTGTTGCTTAGTGTCCAGTCTTGGAGAAGCAGATCACACACACCTTTGGCCAAGAGGCCTTACAAGAGAGGAGTTCTCCTTATCTGTCCCAGAAGGTGTTTTACACATACTCGTGGGAGAAGCAGAGAAGCATCAAAGTCAGGATCATTTCCTGCTCCCCCTCCAGTGCCCCTCCCCTCAAGAGAGCTAGGGATCAGTCATAGCATCGGGACCCGGCAAATATTTACAAATCACTTCCCAGGACATGATTGGAGTTGGCTGGACTTGAGGGCAAATCCTGCTCCAACAGCTGCTTGTTATGTGACTTTGGCAGGCCTGGAAACTCTCTCAGCCTCAGTCTCCCCATCTAAAAAAATGGGGACAATAATAATAATCTCCTTGGGGTTGCGGTGAGGATTGCATGAGATAATTCGAGCATGTTAAGTGCTTTGAACTCTGCCTGTTGCTCAGTAATGATACGGGATAGGAAGAAGAAGGGAGCAGAAGGGAGAGGAGAAACCATGATGATGGAGAGACAGGTGAGGGGCTGTGCTTAGGGTTCATGTCCTCACCCTTCTCTTCTCCAGACTTCACCTTGAAGCTGCCAAGCCTCTCCTGCCCGCCAGCATCTGGGAGGCTCCCCCACCGCCTGCAGACTGCCGACCTGTGGCATTATCAGCTGCAGTGTCCTCTGCCTGGAAACCGTCTCTTGCTTTTCTTTCTTTTTAAAAAAAAATTATCTTTATTTTTTAATTGAGATAACTGAGACATAATTGACATATAATATTGTATTGGTTTTAGGTGTACACCATAATGACTTGATATTTGTATATATTGTGAAATGGCTTCCACAGTAAGTCGAGTTAATATCTGTCACCATAGTTACGAACTACACAACACCATAGTTACATAGTTACAAACTATTTTTACGATGAGAACCTTTTCTTTTTGTTTTTTTTTATTTTTTTTTTTGAGAACCTTTTTTTTTTTTTTAATTCCCGTCTAACACAGTGTTATATATTAGTTTCGGGTGTACCGTATCGTGATTTAACAATTCTAAACATTAGTGAATGCTCATCGCGGTGAGTGTGCTCTTAACCTCCTTTATCTATTTTGCCCATCCCCCCACTCATCTCCCCTCTGGTAACCATCTGTTTGTTCTCTATAGTTAAGAGTCTGTTTTTTGTCTCTTTTTTTCTTTGTTTGTTTTGTTTCTTAATTTCCACATACAAGTGAAACCATATGGTATTTGTCTTTCTCTGACTGACTTATTTCACTTAGCGTAATACCCTCTAGATCCATCCATGTTGCAAATGGCAAGATTTCATTCTTTTTTATGGCTGGGTGATATTCCATTGTGTATACATGTGTGTATGTGTATACTGATAGATATCTATCACACTTATGATGAAGACTTTTAAGATCCACTCTCTTAACAACTTTTAAATATGTAATACAGTGCTATTAACTATAGTCACCATGCTGCACATGACATCCCTATGACTGGAAGTTTGTACTTTTTGACCACCATCACCCATTTCATCCACCCCGTCGCACTCTGCCTCTGACAGCCACCAATCTGTTCTCTGTATCTATGAAATTGGGTGTTTTTAGATTCTACAAACAAGTAAGATCATACGGCATTTGTCTGTCTCTGTCTAACTTATTTCACTTAGCATAGCGCCCTCAAGATCCATGCATGTTGTCACAAACGGCCACGATTTCCTTCTTTGTCATGGCTGAACACTATTTCATTGTATATATTTACTACACTTTCTTCACCCTTTCATCCGCTGATGGACACTAAGGTGGTTTCAGAACCTTTTCTTTCTAGCAAGGGCGAACCTCCCTCGCCTCAGGTTAGAACCTTCCAGATCTCTCCACTTGCTGCCTCCTTAGCAGCCACACTCGCCCTCCTTCAGTCACACTTGCCCTCCTTCTCCCCAACGTCTCTCTACTCCAGCTCTGTGCGGCATTCAAACTCAAGTACTTGTTGCCCCCAAAGTAGGTGAGGTACTTCGTGTTGCCATTCCCTCTGCAAGGAGTGTCTCTGCCCCTAGAAACCGGGCGTGCCCTTCCGGGCTCTGTCACACTTGCATAGGGAAAGGCCCCAATGGCAGCTCATGGAATGGGTTTGGAGCGCTCACAGAGAGAGGATACATGAAATTTTGCCGGGCAGACTTTAGACTTCCTCTCATTTGGTGGGCCACACATTTTCCAGCCCTCTTTCCCGGTTTACTTATCTCTTCCCCTTTATTCCATCCCGGGTTGTTGGAGGCCACCCCTCATCCATCTCTTACTCCCAGTTTCCCCCAACCCTTCCCTCATCACTGGTACACTTTTCTGGTCCGGACTTCATTGCCAAGCACATTGGAATTCCTGAAACAACCCCGTGTCCACTGCTGAGGTGTCAGATAATTCATTGTTAGGATGTGTGTGGAGTTAGAATCATAAAAAGACCATTTCCTGGGTGATTTATTATAATGGGGGCAGGAGCCACGTTGTTTACCATTCGAAGAGAGAGTCCTGGGAATGGATTAAAACTTTGGGGAGAATTTATGATTAAACCTCAAGGTACCCTAATTCAGTCTGGACAGTCTTCTGCCTGAATAGTTCCTGATGTCTTTGGAGCACCCAGCTTGAACTTGCCCTGCCCTGCCCGAGATTAGACATCACCTCTGAGGATCCGTGCCTCCTCAGCACTTGCAATGATCTCACACCTGTTTTGAATCTCATTGGGATGTCCCAGATCATTTATAAGTACTCTGATTCCAGTTTTTTCCCCCAAAATGGATTAGAATTCTTTTACCATGACAGAGGGGGGTAGATTACAGCTTTTGATGTTGTGGAAGGAGTACCGTGCTAGTTGTCAGAGCTCTGGGCCTGGCTCTGCCCCCTTCACTAGAACGCTGAGAGGCCCCGCACAGAGCAATCAACTTCTGAGCCTCAGTTTCTTCGTCTGCCAAGTGAGGGGGTTGGGCCAAATACTTCCTTTGGTGTCGACCATCGATCGCTAACATCCTGTGAAGACATGCCCAGGATCGGACACACTCTAGGAGGAGTGTGGAGCTCCCGGGCATCCCTGGGAGAAAGGCAGGGATGGGAGTTCTTTGGAGTGCTGTTGCCTCCATACTTATGCTAACTGTGCTTGTGTCCTTCTTTCTTTCAGGACTCCTCAGTGGGTTGTACAGACTTATCGGATGAAGAGTGCCTGAGAGACTGACAGTCTGCATTCCCTAAGATGGAGAAGACAGATGGTAGGCAGGCTGCTCTGTGTAACCTGGTCTAAAGTGAGCACTTGGGTTGGAAAGGGATTGCTACCATAGATCTGAGAAACAGCCTAAGGGAGGCTCACAAGAGACATTCCCCACACAGATAGTGCTGGGAGACCCAAACTATGTATTTCAGGTATGAACAAGAGAAAGTAGTAGAGGGTAAGAATGAAGCCTTATGGTTATATCAGACTTCTGTAATTGTTGGACAGTTTTCTCATTTCCTCCAAGCACCAAGAAGGGAGCAGGATGCTCTCACTCATTACTCTCATTTTAAGGATGAGGAACTTCAGGTCTGAGAAAGAGGCACAATATGGTGAAAGAGCCTTCGTGTATATCTGGGTGACTTCCTGTTATTTAACTCCTCTGAGCCTCAGTCCCCTCATGTATCAGCTTTGCTGTGGAACAAATCACTAAAAAATTTATTGACTTAAAGACATTTACTATTTCTGAAAAGATTCTGTGGGTTGTCTGGGCCATTTTTTCTGGTCTGGGCCAGCATGGCTGATATATGCTGGGCGTCTTCATGTGTTTGTGGTCTTCTGGGGGACTTAGCTGGATGGTTTAGAATGGCCACACTTACATGCCTGTTGGTTGACTCCATGTCACCTGGGGCACAGGTGATGATTTGGCCATGTGTTTCTCATCACCCAGCAGGTTAGCTGGGGCCTATTCACATGCTGGCAGAAGGGTTCCAAGCACAGCAAGAACAGACAAACCCCAGTGTGCCAGCAATTGTCAAGTCTCTGCATATGTCACACTTGCTGTTGACCCACTGGCCAAAGCAGGTCACAAGGCCAACCTCAGGGTCAGTGTGGGAGGGGAGGGTCCAAGAATGGCTATTTCTGCAAACAGTCTACCACACCTCGTTTATAAGCAGGTATTAATGCCTACTTCATACGGTTGGTAAAATACTAGATGAGATAATGCATGCAAAGTTGTTGAGTAATAACTATTTAGTGCAACAAATGTTTTCATGAATATTCCCCTCATCCCCTGCCCAGGAAACTTGCTGAAGGTCATAGACTAGACGCTGATCTCCTGACTTCTTCTTCTTCTTTTTTTAAAGATTTTATTTTTAAGTAATCTCTACACCCAACATGGGGCTCAAACCCATAATCTTACAATTTTTTTCAAAGATTTTATTTATTTATTTGACAGAGAGAGAGAGAGCACAAGCAGGGGGAGCAGCAGAGGGAGAGGGGGAAGCAGGCTCCTCGTGGAGCAGGGAGCCCGATGTGGGGCTCAATCCCAGGACCCTGGGATCATGACCTGAGCCGAAGGCACGCTTAACCGACTGAGCCACCCAGGCGCCCCTCAAACCCATGATCTTGACATCAAGAGCTGCATGCTTCACCGACTGAGCCAGCCAGGCACCCCCCCAATCTGCTGACTTCTAATGAAATGCTCTTTCCAGATCACCAAATGTTGGGAAACAGGAGTGCCTATAATCCCCCTGAATCACATGACCCTTCACCAGCACAGGACTTAGGGACCAGACAGCAGCCCCAGCCCTGCCTCTTCCTTCTTTCCAAATGAGGTCACTGTATATTTCAGGAGTTTGCCTTTCTCCCCAGAGAGCTGCCTTTTCATGGAAGTGGTTCCACAGAACACCAGCTAATTCTCTTCATGCCCCGGGGGCCTGTTATTCCTTCCTGCCACATTTGTCCCTGCTCAGCAACCTCAGCACTGCTGTTCTCCTCCACGTGATTACCCACAGCTAGCTCAAGAAAGGGCCCCCCTCCCTTCAGGCACAACTGCCTCACGAAGAAAAGGCAGAAGAGGCACAAGCTTCCGTCACTGTCTTGGCCTTCTGAAGAGGCTCATTAAATTCCCCTTCCTTCCCGCTGTGTTTTTGGCCACCTTCCCTATAGTTTCTGTTTTACCTATTTCCTTCAGAAACCTAGTATATAGTCTTTTGGACTTTTCTTTCTCGCATTAAATACCTCTGATTCATTAGCTCACCTGCTGAACTTCACTATGTTCCTCAAGATAATCACTGTGGCATCTCCTTCCTTCCCTAGACCCCTTCAAATCCCCTTTTCCTTGCATCTGTGAGTCTTAGGCTCATGACTGTGTTGCGGGTCATTTCCAAGGGTCTAGTTCTCTGGCATGCTTTCAGACCAAGACTCTGTAGGGAATCCTAGGTAGCTCTGAGCCTGTATATCTTACTTTTTTCTTCTCCCCTGACTCATTTTCCCAGTTCCTCCAGAATTATCTTCTTGGGCTCTTGAGGCTGTCATTCTAACACAGAGCTAAATATTCCAAAGAATGAGCACACCCTCAGCAGATCCTCCCCTGCCCGACTCAGAACCAGCCCATCGTGCCTTTCTTGAGTACCTGCGCCATGTTCTGTCGCATTCATGCTAACAACCACAACAACTCTGTAAGTTAGGTATTATTATCACCATGTTACAAATGGAGAAACTGAGGCATAGGGGAATTCAATAATTTGCCCAGATTCACATAAGTAGGAAATGACAGAGCCAAGATCCAAATCCAGCCAGTTTGGCTATGTGTTCGTTTATCTAATCAGAAGCTCATTTTGAGCAGAGATGGTCCTCTTAATTAATTCTTGCCCTGGCCCAATGCCCGGAATTCTGAGCTCCTTCATACCTGTCACCAGGTAGAATTAAGAGGAACAGAGCCAAATGTGAGCACAGGTCTGCTGGTATATCAGATCAACTCCCTCATTCAAGGTCCAGCATTCCTTTTACACTGGGAGGAAGAAAAGGAACACAGTGGGGGTGGCGGGTGGAGCAGGTGCGTGTGTGTGTGTGTGTGTGTGTGTGTGTGTGTGTGTGAGATACCCCATAGTACTAGCTTAGGAAAGCACCTATGAAATCCATCATCCTGGATAGCTGTTCAGTCTCACACTCCTTTGGTTTCCTTCAATCTCCCTTGTGGAAGATTTTGCCTTTGAATCTGCTCTTTCTTATTTGATGCTATTCTTGTATTTGTGCTCTGGACCTGCTCCCAGAGGCCACCGGGTAAATCAGCCTCAATTGAATTGAGGCAATAAGCAGATAAATAATGCAGCCTTTCCTTTAGGAGAGTTCTCTGCCTTCCGGGTCATAAATCTGCTCTCTGCTTACCTTTAAATATCTTCTCTCTGATTTGGCCTGTCTCTGTAATCCAGGAGGCTGCTGAGTCAACCACGAGGCCTAAGAGGACAGCTGAGCATAGCCTGGAAATCTAACAGAGAGCAATAGCCCTCAGTTACTGAAATTACCAGTGTGCTTCTTTGGGGGAAAGCAGGTTGGTAAAAAAAAAAAAAAAAAAAAAAAAGTTGTGTGGGTGAATGGGAACTTATTTGGTGTTTTGGCAGGGCTTGAGAAGTAGTCACTCCTTCCTGCCTGAAGTTCAGGTCCCTGGCACAGAAATGGTGGAACCCAGTGAAGACCATCCCGTGGGCTGTGCCCTGCCATGGTCATGGTATAACTGCCCACAGGCCCTGTGGCCTTACTTAGCATCGAGCCCGGTAGGCTTGATTGTGTCAGTGTGCACAATGTCAGCCTGCATGTGTCTAGTTGGCTTCGTTTAGTTCTTTGGAAATAACTGTACTTCTCTAAGTCCAGAGGGCCACCTGACAGCACGTGGCACTGACCAAAAGGAGAGATCTGTCGGGGAAGAGGGAAGAGGTCAGGCCTAGTGTGCCAGCACCTTTAGGGGAAAAGCAACCCCAAGAAGCTACCCCCAGGTAGCACCTTCATTTGCACCTTTTCTTTAAGTCCCTTTCCCTTCATTGCCTTTAGCGTCTCTTACCTGGAGCATGTCAGCTGGCTCCCATCTGGTCTCAGGGCCTTTGGTTTGTCCTTCATCCAGTCCTCTGCGAGGACACTCTTTGTGACACCACCGTTGATTACCTGAAGAGTAGAGTCAAGGCTTGTTGGTGTGCATGCAAGCTGCCCATGACCTGGTTCTTGCTGACCTTTCCAATTGTCTCCTTCTCCTGGTTCACTCTTCTCTACCACACATCACCTGCACTTATAGAACCCCAGAATACTGTGGCATTCCATACCTCTGTGCCTTTGCACATTCCCCAACATGTGTCTAGAATCTGCCCTGGCTATTTATTGCTGCATTACAAACACCCCAAAACTCAGTGGCTGAAAACAAGAATGTATTACTAACACAGCTTAGCTGAGTGGTTCTCACTTGGAGTACCTCCTGTCACTGAAATCAGATGAGGGCTGGGGCCGGAGTCATCTGAAGGTTAATTCCTGGCACCTGGACTAGGATGGCTGGAACAGCTCAGGCTGGCGAGGCAGCTCTCTCCCTCTTCCCACATCACCTCTCTGTGGGGCTCTTTGGCTTCCCCACACTATGGCAGGTCTCAGGGAAGTTGGGCTTCGTACATGGCATCTGACTTTCCACTGAATGGAACTTACTGGCTTCTTATGACCTAGCCGTAGAATTCTCTCAGCATCATTTCTACCATATTATTTTGGTCAAAGGAGTCACAGGCCAGCTCAGATTCAAAGGGGTGGAGAAATAGACTCCTCTCAGTGTGGGATTCCCTTGACCGTATAGAGAGGGTGGGAAGTGATGGTGGCCATCTTGGAGATAAACAGCTACAGTGTCTTTCACCCTCTTGTTCTGGCAAATTCCTGTTTGTTTATTTTATGCCCAATCTTATGTCACTTTTGTGAAGTCATCCCTCTCCTCCCAAGGCAGAATTAACCTCCTGAATAAACTGGGAAAATAAATCAAGAAGGCTGTCTTTTGGGCACGTATCTGTTACCGTCCTTGGCACACGTGTTGTACCTACTGGTGTTTCTCCTACTTGACCATACATTTTTTTTTTTTTTTGAGGGCAGGGCTGTTCCTGATTTATCTTTGTGTCCTTAGGATCTAGCTTAGCAACCAACACATAGGTCCGCAAAAAAACAGTGGTTGAAGTGAGCAAATTGAATTACTACTATTTTGTAATTTTGCCCACAGGGCCCACTACCCTTGGAACCAAGCAGTCAGTCAGTCACAGAGAATTTATGGAGCTCCTCCTGTGTGCCCAGGCAAAGCAGCTTCCATTATGGGGCTTCATAATGGAGCTACCACAGAGAGGCCCTTTGTGTTTCCACAAAGATAATAACTACAATATTGAGTACACATGGATGTTCATCATTGTTCAAAGCACTTTATATGTATAAATTAATCAGTTCTCACAAGATTCTCACCTTGCTGTTAGTATTCCCACTGTATAGATGATGAGACATAGGGAGGCTAAGTAATTTCCCCAAGAGCCGAAATATAGACCAGGCTTTTGAATCTGCATTCTTGATCTCTGTGCTGCCCACTAATGTGCTCTCCTGAGCTAAGCATTTTGGGAGCATGTTTAGCAGAATGTCACAGAGATAATAAGGGGGATTACATGAGAACAGACTGTTTAACCTGAAGAAGAGACTACTTGGAGACAAGTCCTATGGATTCAGTCAAAGGACTGACTTGTTCTCAGCGTCCTCTGCCGGAGTCAAGAAAACCACTGGTGCCTTGGCGTGAAGGAGAACTTTCTCACCACAATGTCCCCTGACAGTCTGGGCTGCCCTGAAAAGTCATGAGTCCCACTTCTCTTGGAGGACATAGGCCAATGTCCCTTTGATATGGCCTTGTCCCTTACCACCTTTTATCCAGTCTGTGAAGAATGTGGTATTTCCTCACTTGCCATGAGTTTTTGTTTTTTAAATATTTTTATTTATTTATTTGATAGAGAGAAATATAGCAAGAGAGGGAACACAAGCAGGGGGAGTGGGAGGGGGAGAAGCAGACTTCCCGCTGAGCAGGGAGACCGACATGGGGCTCGATCCCAGGACCCTGGGACCATGACCTGAGCCGAAGGCAGACACTTAACGACTCAGCCGCCCAGGCGCCCCTTGACATGAGTTTTTGAAAGTGAGGTTCATGTTTGTTAAGCACTAAGCAGTTTTCAGGTGGAAAAGAGCATGGGCTGTGCATGATTACACACGCCAGTTCTCTCTGATCTTCATGTACCTGAAGGCTCACCCAGATGAGGATGCTTACATAATGTAAAAGGCATAACTCCTTGATATCTCTGGCTTCAGCAAGATTTCCTAGTATCCATTTGAATAATGCGAGGTTCTGTCATCATGTCGAGGCAATTGTGTACCTTATCCTTCAAAACCCTCAATATTCATAATTGCCAATTAGTACCCCGATCTGGCAGATTCCTGGCCACTTCAGTTCAGTCACTACATGACTCAAACCCAGAAAAACAGTACGAGACTATTTTTTTTTGCTGGTCTGCTGGGAGATTCCACAGCAATAACTGAGATGAATACTGCAAATTGGAAACTATTTCCTCTACCTGTTTCCTTGCAGACATTGGCTAAGTACACACTGATTTAAATAACCTGGATTCTCAGCATTGCCAGAAGACTGTGAGCATCTCAGCTTAATTTAGAGGCAGGGACATTTAGGAGAAGTCTCTCGCGAGAGCATTAAGTCTAAATCACACATATTAGGCCTCACCACCCATAATTCTTATTAACATTGTGCTTCCTTTTTACATGTCTCCCAGCCAAAGACCAGTCCTCTCAGGGGGATGAAGAGAAAGGCCCTCCAAAGAGCCACCCCTACTCTGTGGAGACCCCGTATGGCTTTCATCTGGACCTGGACTTCCTCAAGTACGTGGATGACATTGAGAAGGGAAACACCATCAGAAGGATTCCTATCCACAGAAGGGCCAAGCAGGCCAAGTTCAGCACTTTGCCTCGAAACTTCAGCCTTCCTGACAGCAGGGCTCGCCCCCATGCTGCTCTTCCCCACCAAAACTGGTCCCCAGTGGTGCTGAAGAAGGTGTCGCTGGGGACAGAGGAGCGAGCCCAGTCGCTGCCCCCTGGTGAACACCCACAAGCCTCTGCCAGTGGGAGTGAGGTGAGCTACCACAGGAAGGCCCTACTGGCGGAGACAGCCAGACATTTGGAGGCTGTTGCGCCCGGGGAGGCAGAACCAGCCCCCGGGAGTGGACGGCCCCAGCTCTTGAGAGCGTCCAGCATGCCAGCCACACTGCAACAAAACAGGGCCTCAGAGGACTCAAGCCTAAACTCAGGTCCCCCCACACCTCCAGCCCTCCCTCCACTTCAGGGTGAAGGCAGTGTCTGTGAAGGCACCTTTGGCCCTGCAGATGGATTTGCAGGTTTTCAGAACTCCACCCCACGAGCAACAACCCAACCCAAAGTCAGAGAGTTTGGGGACGTGGTGCCAGGGATTCCAGAGCTGGTCCAGGAGGGCACCGAGCCTCCCGAGGACGAAGATGAAGAGGAGGATCCAAATCCCCTCTCTCTCCCAAGTCCTCCCTTCTTATCTGAGGATGCACTTGTCGTTCTGGAGGATGAAGAAGACGAACACAAAACCAGAGAAGCAGAGGTGGTGGTCACCCCTGGCTCCCCAACACCCAGCCCCCCACAGCTGCCATCACCCATTCCTGAGAATGAGTTCCCCCTAGAAGAAATCGAGCTCAACATCAGCGAGATCCCACCCCCACCACCTGTGGAGATAGATGTGAGGAGCATTGGCATCCGGGTCACGGAGGAAAGCCTGGGCCTCCCCGCAGTGGATCCTGGAAGCATCTCCAGCCTGAAGCAACGACTCTCTGCCCTCGAGGGTGAGCTGTCTGGAAGAACCGAGGAACTGGCCCAGGTCAGAGCTGCCCTCCAGCAGCAGGAGGAGGAAATCAAGGCCAGAGGGCAGAGGATTCAAGAGCTAGAGCACACTATAGCTCGACTGGCAGAAAAGCTTAGCCACGAGAACACCAGAGCACAGAACACCAGAGACACTCGGGGCCACACTGACGCCATGGTCAACACTGACCCCCTCCATGGACTCTTGCCCAGGGAGTCCTGTGACAAGAGCACTGAGGTCAACCTTCTGGGCAGCACAGGATCTGAAAGCTGGAGGGCCAGAGGAGAGGAGAATGGCCTCTTAGTGGGGCAGGCCAGCCACAAACGGGGGGATCAGAGCCCAGCAGAATTCATGCCACCACCACAGCTGTCACTGCCACAAGGACCCGAGGTGGTCCTCGCCCCCTCTTTACCTAGCTGCCTCTCCACTGAGCTGAGGATCGAAGAAGCAGGCTCTGAGCAGGAGGGAAGCCCTCAGGTGGGAGCCGAGGGTCTGGGCAGGGGAACAGGGCGCTCTTCATGGAGCAGCGACAGAAAGACGCCCCCAGCAGGGCGAGAGGAGACCAGTTCAGAGCTGCCGGGGAAGGAGCGCCCGGGGAGGCCACCAAGCTCTCCCACAGATGCCACTATCGGCCAATACGTTAAGAAGATCCAGGAACTCCTGCAGGAGCAGTGGAGCTGCCTGGAGCACGGGTACCCGGAGCTGGCCAGCGCCATCAAGCAGCCCGCCTCCAAGCTTAGCAGCATTCAGAGCCAGCTGCTGAGCTCCCTTAACCTGCTGCTATCTGCCTACTCGGCCCGCACTCCACCCCAGAGGGAGCCCCCGGCCCCCTCTGCCTCCCCGCCGATGGGTAAATACGGGTGCCCAAGGCTGGGAGCCATTTCTCCTTTACCTCATGAGTCAAAGGGAATAAGGATTTGAATTGCATGCATATATTTTTCAAAAGGTTCAAGCACCTCCAGGAACCCAGTGGAAGAAACACCAATCTATGTAACAGTGGAGGCCCTGTGCCCCTACTCTTGTCCTGGCTCTAAGGCTGGGACTGCAGGGCCACCACATATAAGCTGGCACAGATAGCACAGGGCACAAAGATGCCAGCCAGGATAGGCACCACGGGGGCCTAAATTCAGCCCCCCCTCCCTTGCCAAGTCTGCAGCACCGTGTCCACCCGGGCAGTGCTCATTTCTCACTTGCGTTGCACAAAGACAATGTCTAGGGCAAGAACGGCCCTGGCTGTGTGTGCTCTAAACCTCAGCCTCCCTTCATTGTTTCCTGGGCTCTTGCCTTCCTGTGGTCCTCTCTGGTTCTTGCATTTAGAGGTTTGCTCTAGCCTGGTTTTGAAGGAGCACTGTATTGAGATCTGAAATATTTCACTGAATAGTTTCTGTGCGTGCATGCGCGCGCGCGTGTGTGTGTGTGTGTAGGAGAGAGACGGAATGCTACATGTGGAAGTCAACCCTTGGGCTGAGCAGCACTTCTCTTGTAACAGATCACACACTCCTTTCTGTTGAGTAAAGTGGAACCATATTTTGCTTTGCTCAACGAGCAGTGTGCAAGTCTGCTTCCTGCTGCAGATCACGAATGGGTTGCTTTTTTCATTATTTCGGTGCTAATTCCAGTCTTGCCCATTGGAAAATGCCTCCTATACCTTTGAGCACAGCAAAAAAGATGTGCTCTTGCTCATGCGCCTGCCATGCCTACCCCACATCCCAGGTGTCAAGTGGCACGTAAGCCAGGAAAGACCACGGAGGTGCCCTCGGGCCCAGGTGGGCATGGGAACAGGAGTCGTGTGTATGGGGTTCTGCGCCTGCCCTGCCGTTCACTGAGCAAGTCTGAGCCTCAGATTTCCCCTCGCTAAGACAGGGACAGTGATGGCACACGCACCACACGGCTCTTCTGGAAGAGTGCTCCAGGAACTCCACTCTGTCATCCACACACAGAGGGGCTTGTGAACAGGGACAGTTGGGCTGGTGCTGACCAGAAGGCTGGGCCTCCTCAAGACCTTCACAATATCTGATTTACATGATCTAGATCTCTGTCCCTTTCTACCTCCGCGCATGCCTTCAGCCTGTCTCCCCTCAAAGCAAGAGTCCCGGTTTTGCTGCATTCTGGGGCATCCCCAAGATCATTCTAACCTGTGATGTTGTGTCTACCTAGAGATCTCCCCGTCGACCAGCCTTAAATCCATAATGAAAAAGAAAGACTATGGCTTCCGTGCAGGAGGTAATGGGACCAAAAAGAACCTTCAGTTTGTTGGGGTTAACGGTGGGTAAGCATCGCTCGTGAAGCCCAGACTGCCCCCCTCCACACTACCTATCCCGCTGTTGTCCTTAGCACTCGCTTTTCCTAGGGGGAAGCATCTGGTTTCCATTTTTCTTCAAGGGAATTAACGGCCCTTGAAAACTCCCATCTCGGGTTTGCATGTGTTTGGCTCCTTGCCAGCTGTGGTGGTCTGTTGGATCCTGTGCTTTTAATGTCTCGGCTTTGGTGTCCCTGGGGACAGGGTTCCAGGTGGCTTCTGGGAGTTTGGGGAGCACATGGGCCCTTTACAGAAGACATTTAATCTGAACCACAAGAGTGAAAGCAGGACAAACTCTTAATTTGTTGAACTTCAAATTTCACCCATTTATTTTTTTTTCTTCCTTTTACTAACTTACTGCAAACCAAACCAGCATTTTTTAGGATGAAGAAAAACAACCAAGGTCTATTGACTCGGAACATGAAGCAAACCTTATATATTCTAGAGAGTAAATCACTGGATTTAGAATGTTTTCTAAATCAGTCATTCAACAAACATTTATTAAATGCCAACAAATGTGTTAGGTGTCAGGGATAAAGAAGTCAAATAAATCCTTGGTCCCTGCCTTTAGCTCATAGTTTGGACAGGGCAGAGATAGGACAAGAAGTAAAGAGAAAACACCGATCTGCTGAGATGAATTCTAGTGAAGAAGGGAGTGTGGGCCCAAAGGAGGGGCACCGGACCCAGCCAGTGGTGGGCCCCGGAGGTCGGAACCCCTGCTAGTTTGGGTCAGACCAGAAGGGAGACACCAGATTTAAACAAGGGTGACGTCACTGTTGCAGGCTCTGTGAGGAAAACGTCAGAAATAATGACATGGGATGTCACAGGAGAGTCGCTGTTGCCATTCCCACTAACGTCAGACTCTGTGAACCCAGGAGAAGCAGGTCCTATCCCTCCCCTGCCCCCGGCAGTGCCCGCCCCGGGCCCGAACCTGGAAGTCCATCCGTAGCTATTGCTGGCCCCATTGTCTACCATGGACTCCCGCCTGTCTTCCCTAAAATGTGCCAAGTGAGGCCCATCGTGGGGCCCTTGCATTTGCTGTCTGTCCTTCCGACTGTCTCCCCACCGCCCTTAAAGTGCCCTTGTCCCAGATATTCTTCAGTATTTGTCACTTTAGTGCAATGGTTCTCAACCTTGGCCACACCTTGGAAACCCTGAGGGAGCTTTAAACATACCAGTGCCTGAGTTCCCCCCCCACCTCCCAAAACTCCGGCTTCATTAGGCTGGGGTGCTGTGCAGATATTGGGAATGTATACACCCTCAAGTGATTATAATGTGCAGCCAAGGTGAAAAACTTCTGGTCTAATTAACATAGGCCCTCCACCCATTACTCTAGTCCATAGTCCTTTATTATTTTATTCATTGTTCTTATCACTATCTAATTATCTTGTTTACATGTTTGTTTTCTGTTTTTCTCTACTAGCAATAGAAGCTCAATTAGGACAGGGACTTTGGTATAGCATTAAGAACAGAGTGTGGCACACAGTAGGTGCTCAATAAATTTCTGTGGAATGATTGAATGGACTTCCAGGTGAAGTTTTTATGGAAGCAACTGTAAGAGAAGAACTGCTTGGTAAACATAATGTGTCCCCCCTTCTCTTAGTCACAAAAGCAAAAGGTTGTTCCAAGCACAACAGAGGAAGAAATATCTGTGGTTTAAACAAGACAGAATATGAGCATGCCAAGGAGCAGCCTGGCTCTGCAAATCCAGTGAGCATGGGGGCCTTACATAGGGGCCAGCGTCCAGAGAAAGGGCCTAAGGGGGTTCAATGGAAGCTGTGGCCACTGGTCTCCCCTGGTCTCTGTGGCAGTGTTCAATGGCCCCAGAGCCTGAAATTTTCATCTTAACTGCAGGATCCTCTATCAGGGGGTCTCCTGTTGACCATCAGCAGAAGGATCCATAAATCTGCTGGGACTTCCCTCTGTGGTCTGCCACCTCAATGGAGTCCCACAAAACTGAACCTAAGGATCACTGCTGGGGAGGGTGGGCCATGAGGCAAGGGGGCCATGCCCTTGCTTTTGCTGTTGCAAGCAGTAGCTGAATAGGCCTCAGCCAGGACACGCAGATGCTGGGTTCAGGCACCCTGACTGTTCATGTTTCCTATGGAACACTGCTGGGAAGAGACATAGATGGGTCCTCCCATGTCAGATGTAAGCCTGGCTGGAACAGGGGGGGGCGAAAGGGAAGCTTCACAATCACCCAGAGACGTGAAGATCTGTCCATCAACTCCCAAGAATTCAGGGTGGGAGTGGGGGGGCGTTTGCCTACATCTGGGCCCCTCTAGACAACACGTTAGGACCCCAGAAGCAAATGCTTTTGTGAGAATCTTGGATGGCTTATCTGGATCATCCGAATGCATAGGCCAATTAGGGCATGGGCTATTTGTGTGTTCCCTGCAAACAGCTTAATTATCTTTTCTCCCCACATGGCGTCCGGTGTCAGGCCACAGCTCTTGACCACACCTTTCTCTGACGTAAGGTTCCTGGGAGTCCCCTCACCCAGGCGTGCCGATACAGAGAATGGAGGATGTGGTTAGCAAGCTGGGGATTATTATCTGAAGCCCACCTGGTTCTTATTTGTGTTGACCTGGACACCGGGCAGGAAACACAGAATGAGTGATCTTTGTCTCCTTCTCCAGCTACGAGACCACCTCAAGTGAGGAGACCAGCGGTGAGGACACCTCCCCGGAAGAAGTGTCAGACAGCGAGGCCGAGAAGAAATGTGATGGCCCAGAACACAGGCGTGGTAAGGAGGCCCACCCTGCCTACAAGGCTGGGCTGAGCATCCCTGAGGGCACCAGCACCACAGGCCAGGAAAGTGGGCCTGGGGAAGAAGTCCCCCATCCCAAGGCTGAGAGGTGAGTCAGATGGGTACAGATGGGGGCACCTGATCTCTGGGAAAGAGCAAGGGCACTTCTTCATCCTTTTATTCTATTATATTTGTTCATTTGTTCATTTGTTCATTCATCTTTCTATCCATTCACCAGTGTTTCCGGAGTTTCTGATCTATGCTAGGCACAGATGTAACTCCTGCCTTCGTGGGATATACTGTCACACACAGAGCTCTACCTGTCAAGCTAACATCGTCCCAGGCCTGGAAATGTGAAGGACTTTACATGTACTATAATCCTTTTAATTATCCTGCAAAGTAGAAATTATTATAATCCCCACTTTACAGATGTGGAAAAGAGACTTAGAGAAGTTAAGGGACACAGCTGAGTGGGGCTTCTGACCCAGGTCTTGTCTGATTCTCACCCACGTGCTTTCCTGCCTCTCCTGTTGGCCATGTTTTTTTCATATATTTTTTTATTTTTATTAACATATAATGTATTCTTTGTTTCAGGGGTACAGGTCTGTGATTCAGCAGTCTTGCACAATTCACAGCGCTCACCACAGCACATACCCTCCCCGGTGTCCATCACCCAGCCACACCATCCCTCCCGCCCCCCCCCACCCCACCCCTCCCGCCCCCCTCCACCCCAGCAACCTTCACTTTGTTTCCTGAGATTGAGAGTCTCTTACGGTCTGTCTCCCTCTCTGGTTCCGTCTTGTTTCATTTTTCCCTCCCTTCGCCTATGATCCTCTGTCTTGTTTCTCAAACTCCTCATATCAGTGAGATCATATGATAATTGTCTTTTCCTGTTGGCCATGTTGACATAACCCCATCTTTTAAAGAGATACGAGGTCATGTCACCTGATGAAAAGCAGCCCTGTCTTTGAGGCTGGACACACTTGGGTTCAAATCCCATGTCTGCCACCATGTTCCTTTACATAAGGTGCCTAAATTGTACTTGCCTCCGATTCTTCATCTGTAGTATGTGGGTAGCAGCCACCTGATAGGTTTGATCTGGGGACTGGATAAGAAAAAGTATGTAAAATGCCTAACACAGTGCCTGCCATAGACCAGGCTCTCAAGAAATAGTAGAGGGGAGCCTGGGGGGCTCAGTCAGTTAAGGTGTCTGACTCTTGACCTCAGCTCAGGTCCTGATCTCAGGGTCATGAGTTTAAGTGCCACATTGGGCTCCATGCTGCGTGCTGAGGCTACTTAAAAGAAGAAGAAAAACAAGTAGTAGAAATAAGGAGAGTAAGTCCCATTACCAACATCACCCCCCTCAGCGGGGTGGTGGGGGAGTGACGAGCAGTGAATGGGACTCACTGGTAAGCAGGTCCACAGGGCTGCTCAACATGGCAGCACTATACAGACATGCTGAGGGCAGAGCTTCCTGGTGACCAGTGCCATCAAGTCCCACCCCAGGATGGTCTGTCTGCTCTTACACTGACACAGGAAGAGCACCCAGCACCGAGAGCACCCCAGCTTAACTGAGTTTCATTGTATTGACTCTATTAGCATTGATGGTATCCTTCATGAAAGACTAACCTGGAAAAAATTGCTGGTAGGGATTGGGTTCTCTGGATTTTTCAAGTCACTTAGGCAGGAAATGTTTTATCCAAAGTCAGGAAGACAGCCTTCCCTCTTCCCAGCATGTCAGGAATTGCAGTTAGTCCCATGGCCCCCAGAATGCTTTGGTGATCTGCTCCCGCCTCCTAAAAACAGCAGGATAAAAAGGGCAATGTGCTTGACTCACTCTTCAGCAGAGTTCAGAGGCCAAGCCTTGTCAGGAGGCTGCATTCAGCGGAATGCTCCTTGCCTGGGAAGTGGCCCAGTGTGGGTGCTTCAGCTGCTGAGAATCGAAAGTCAAGCTACGGATTACTTTCTTTTATATTAATATGAAAACTGATATATATATGTATTTTTTTTTCTTTAGATATAAACCCTCAGAAGAATTCCTCAACGCATGCCGGGCATTGAGCCAATATCTGCCAGAAACTGGGGCCACCACCAACCAACTCTTGGTACTGTGATTTTTCACTGTCATGGAAGGATGTCCCTACTGTTTAAGCTGTTAGTTCTGACTGGGTGACTTTGGTCCCTTGCCTGAGGCAGCGGTGTGGATGTGCATGGAATCCCTTTCCTCTGGGTGCCCTCCTTTGCCCAAACTCTGCTGCTGGGGTGATGATAATTATGCTGGAAGACAGGACCTGACGCATATGCATCAGGGAGCAGCCTGGCGCTCAGAGGCACTACGGAGCGTTATCAGGCATTGCACCTGAAAGTCCAGCATAAAACTGTATGTGGCTTCAAAACCAAACCAAACCGTGTGTGGCTTGGGCTCAAAATCACCTCACAACTGGAGAGAACTATGGGCAGAGTGAAGAGTATATGGAATGGGAACCGGGGTTTCTAGTCACCGGACAGCTGCTAGTGAGATATTGAGCAAGTCATTTCACCGCTCAGAGCTTGTTTCCTCATTAAGAAAATGAAGGTGGGTGGTGGGCAGTATGTCTTCATTACCCTCAAGCCCTGGTATTTAATTCTGTAGTCTTTACTGTGTGTGTGTGTTTTTTTTTTTAAGATTTTATTCATTTATTTGTCAGAGAGAGAGAGAGCACAAGCAGGGGGAGCAATAGGCAGAGGGAGAAGCAGGCTCTCCGCTGAGCAAGGAGCCCGATGCGGGACTCGATCTCAGGACTCTGGGATCATGACCCGAGCCAAAGGCAGATGCTTAGCCGACTGAGCCACCCAGGCGTCCCTTTACTGTGTTTTTTTGTCACGAACCTCTGGGTCAAGAGACCAAAAGCAAAAAAAAAAAAAATCTGCTTGCTCCTTAACACCTTCGTGGCCCACGAAGGAATTAAACATGTAGCCATTAGGTTTTACTTTTATTCAAGAGATCCTGGCGCAGACACGTATTCCCAATTCAGGAGAGCCAACCTGTCAGTGAGGCCCTGACATCTAACAGCCTATAAGCATTTTTAAAGCCCATTTTGTTCTCCTTTGCAGAAGGGCCTTAGGGGTAAAAAAGCGATTAATTCAGCCCAACCCATTTTGATTATTTTATCTTAGCTGATTTTGCAAAACAAAAACAAAAACAACCAGTGTGTGATGTGAATGTTGATCGAAACTCCTGTTACTTAATCTTAAATGAATTACGGAATTAAGCTTTATGTTCCTTAATATTAGGATCTTTCTCTAGATTCTCCTGAAGATTCCACAGGAAAGGGAGATATTCTGATATATAAAGTGTTTCAGCCACAAAAGATTCCACTGTTTCTGCGTAGAAAAGTGATAGGGGAGGGAAGTCTGGCTGGCTCAGTTGGTAGAGCATGCAACTCTATCTCGAGGTTGTGAGTTCAAGCCCCAGGTTGGGCATAGAGTTTACTTAAAAATAAAATTAAAATTAAAAAGAAAAGAAAAGCGATAGAGGATGTGCAAACCTGACACCACACCCATATTAGGATCAAAGTACCCCTTCCCCCACCCCACCTTAGAGACAAAGCAGGTTGTACAAGGGCCTCACTCTATAGAGCCAATGGGAGGTTAGGGACCCAGCCCTGTTTCATTCCCATTTTGTAGATGGGACAGGTAAGGTTCAAAAAGACTATATCACTTCGAAGGTCACACAGGTGAGCTGGGACTTAAGCCTGGCCACATGGGTTTAGTGACTCCAAATCCAGTTCCTTTCCAGAATGAGTGTGAAATCACATCGCCACACTTTCTCCTCCCCTTCAGATAAATAACTTAAACATGTTCTATTTTAAACACGTAGGTCATATAACACACAGAGTTGATGTCATTCACTCTGGAACTCTCCTCATCCATGGTTCCAAAGGAGCTACATACTGCAGATAGTGGGGTCCTGCCATGGGTTGTTAAACCATTTTCTCTGAAGGTTCTAGCAAAGCTTAAAAGCCAAAAATAATTCAAGCACAGCTGTTTGGGTTTTATTTCTAGCATCAGTTGGGCATGTTGTTTATCTTAGGCTTTCAGCATGCGTCTTCCCCATTAGTAAAATGTTGTGACTTGCTAGCCATGCCTATTAAGAACACACAAAAGTCCGGGTAGGGTCCAGGCTGAGGTCAACATAGGCTGGCTATATGTGTGTGAAAGACAGGGCCTTGGTTATGCTGTATGTACAGGGGTTTGATCTAAACGCACGGTAGATTCAAAGTGTCACCTGGAAAAACGCTTTGTCACTGGTATTGTTTGCTCTCCCAGACCTCTTTCTACCTCACATGGGGGGCTGTTCACACAGGTTCCAACCCACCTCCTGCCCCAGCTCTGACCCCTCCAGGAGTAGGTCACGTGGAGTTAGAGGGAGCTGAGGGGACAGAGGTGGACGCATCCAAAGCTGACTTCTTCCAGTGGAAGCTAACAGCCCAGCTGGAGCCCCCCAGGCCAGGTGACCTCCTGGATTTGGAATCTGTTGGTTATTTCAGAGGCAGCGCTTGAACACCCTCCGTCAAGAGTGGTTCCGCGTCTCCAGCCGGAAGTCGTCAAGCCCTGCTGTGGTGGCTGCCTACCTCCGAGGGGTCCAGCCCCACTCCCCACACTTCCTGCAGCTGCTGGTGAACTTGGCTGATGGCAATGGGAACACGGCCCTTCACTACAGCGTGTCCCACTCCAACTTCTCTGTGGTGAAGCTGCTGCTGGAGACAGGTCAGAAATGGTTGTGTCTGCTCAGTCTGGGTCCCTCCTTGAGGGGCCATTTTGGTATCCACTTCCTTCCAGCATGAGACTCTTCACTGTCCTGAGCTCCTGCTGTATTCTAGAACTGGACTAGACCACCATGCCTTTATCATGGCACTTATTCTTCACAACACCCTTGTGATGGAGGTGTCATTATCCTCATGTTGTGCGGGACAACATCACGCAGCCTAGGAGTGACGGTGTGGACAGATGGGTGATGGGGCTGGCTGAAGGCGTGTCCAGGCCCAGTGGCATCTGTGAGCTTAGGAAGGTTGTATGAGGGATATCTAGGAGGGTACCAATAAGAGATATAAAACCCCAAATGATCTCCATGGATTAGGCCCTCTGCTGAGCACTTGGCATGTGAGATCTTGTTTAATCCTCAAAACTCCTGTTAAGAGGGATGATTATCCCTGTTTTATAGATGATGAAAGTGAAAGTGATGCTCAGAAAAGTCAACAGACTTGTGTGATCCTGAGAGCACGCAATGACTCAATGTGTTGCTGGGGTTTAAAGGTGATACCATTGGTTTGTTCTTCTCATTCCCGGCATCCAGGAATTGGAGCACGTGTTAGATCTGTAACCCTTATTTAGGAGGCTGGAGGAGGAGTTTAAATGAGCATCAGGAAGTCTGAATTCCAGATCCAACAGCTTTCCCCCAACTTGGATCTTATCCACCCTTGCTTAAATGCCTCCCACAGCTTTCCATTGCTCTAAGAATGAAAGGCAGCTTCCTCAGCCTGGCCTTCGGGAACCCTGGATGGCCTGGCTCCCGCCTGCATTTGCTATCTCAATCATCACCATGTAGCCCCCTTCCATCCACTCCAGTCACATGGCCTCCCACTCCCCAAGTTCATTCCCTCCGTAGGACTGCTGCCTTCTCTTTCTGTCTGAGTCCTTCTCCCTGAAGCCCTTCTCAGCCCTGGCTCCTTCTCATCACTCCAGTTCTCCAAAATTCTGTTAGGCAGCATTGAGGGCTTTTTACCTGAATGGAAGGGTGATGTACCTCATGACAGCCTAAAACTCTTTCTGCTTTCCACACCATCAGAGGAAGATAAAGTCACAACTCTAACATTGAGCCAATTGTACTAGATTTCACTTCTTCATGGATTCATGGACACCATAAAAGGGGTAGCTCAACTGAGAAAGGCACATAATTAAATGGAACATACCTCTGTGTTCTGTGCATGTAGAGCCTCATCTTGAAGCAGCTTGGACTTGAAGCCGGTTAGAAGTTCTCCTGGTGGGCCAGGCCAGGCCAGAGAACAGACGGCCTAAGCTTTGGTTGTTAACGCATTTCTGCTGGTGTTGACTGAGAATCCATTCAGTTTTCCTCAACCCTAAAGTGATCTGGAAGCTTTCTGTTTATCATACTGATACAGCTAAAATAGCCATAAGCATAAAGTATGAAGGGGAGCTGGAGAATGGGGTGAAGTACCATTACTTTCCTTCACTGTAGAAGGCCTGTTGAGGAGGGCATATTGGTCACACTCTGAAACCTAGGCACGCAGTTGTGAGGCATTCAGAAAGCACATTACAAACCATAAGGGGCTACACAGAAGTGACTCATCATGATTGAGTATAGAGCCAACAGGTGCACCTCTGCCACCTTAGTCCTTAGTGATGCACCTTTATTTTGCCAGAACGCCACTACAGAGGAGAAGGCTTGTGGAATTGGAGCATGCTCAGTCAAGAGCATTTCCCCTCGCCTCCAGGGACAGTTGGCTCACTCCCTGGTGAGCTCAGAAGCATCTGCTGTGAAAGCCCTGGGTCCTCAGCCCCTTTTCTGAGCCCCTGGGCAGGAGTCAGTCCTTAGTCTACTGAGTTATAAGTCATGTTTCTGAAGAGACTAAAGAGAACTGTAACCTGAGGACTGTTTACACCTCTTAAAAGCAAACATCAAATAGTCATGAGAATAACAAGGCAATGCAGATATTCCCATCTTTCTCAGGGCAGAGCTGTGAGGCAATGCGTGTGGTTATATTCAGCTTTCATAGCCCAGCTGGTCATGACAGTGGTCAGAATGAATTTTTTTTGTATCCAATGGCATCCTGGTATCACGATGGCACATTTCTGAAAAATTGTTTGAGATGGGGTGGGGGAACTGTCAAACCAATATTGTTTTTTTACCCAAGAACAGAACTCCTAAGTAGCCCAGACATTTTTTCATAAAAAAACAGATTTGTTACAATGAATACCTAAGTCTTCATGAGCAAGTAGCAAGGCTATAAAAACAAGAATACTATTCTGGACAATAATAGTGAAACAGTTAATGCTTATTGAGTGTTTGCTATGTGCTAGGTGCAGTTCTAAGTGCTTTCAATATATTAACTCATTAAATTTCACAGTAACCCCATAGGTTCTATTATCACAGTAACCCCATAGGTTCTATTATTCTCCCCATTTTACAGAGGAAATGCTAAGAAAGGCTAAGTGACTTGATCTACTGAGATAGTTTTTTTATTGTCCAAAAGAGATACATAGGTTTTTCAGATAAGCAACAGTATGGGGAAGATTTTGTTTACCTCATGGTACTGCCCTTATGGGGTGGGATCGTTTATACAACGGATAACAGGCTGATGATCTCCTATGTTGCCTTTGGTGGAGAGGGATGTGAATGCATATCCCTAGGGTTACAAAGCAGACATTTCTTCTGAGTTCTCAACTAATACTTCATCTTAAAAATATGCTATTTTTCATTCTACTGTGAAATGTATTATTAATATAAAAATGCTTGGAGGCTTTTTTTCTCCCTCCATTTTTCAAACGAAATGGTTATTCCTGGAAGACTTCCTATGTTTATCCTGTGGCATTTTTCAGGCCGCCCGGTACACTGGCCAACATATCACTTGGCCTTTGGGAAAGACCTGAAGACTCAGCTGTCAGCTTAGGAGTTACACACAACATAGAGTAAAACCTAAAATGCACAGCTCTGGGTGCTGTGTGGCCGGGTGAGTGATGGGCTCTAGAGCCAGACAGACCCACGTCCTGGTCTCGTTTCACCTTCACTTGGGCAGTTTATGAAGCTTCAATGACCTTCGGTGTCCAGAACACTGCTTTAGGAAATAATCATGATCATTGCATCCCTTGGCCATCTCTGGACCTACTACCATGGACCTTCTTGCTGGGTAGCTTCAGAAAACTTGTAAAGAAAACTAGCCACTTTTAAAGGCTGCTACAAATGTAAACACTGACTCCACCACTGGGAAAGGACTGTTCTGTACCATGGCCTTTTAACCAGCAGGCAGTTGGCAGATGTTGATCAGGCTAAGCAGAAACTCACTTCTGCTCCCTTGCGAGCTAGTCCAATGCCCACTGCTCCCCTTGCAGGTGTCTGCAATGTGGACCATCCGAACCGAGCTGGCTATACTGCCGTGATGATCACTCCCTTGGCTTCTGCAGAGACCGACGAAGACATGGCTGTCGTCTGGAAACTCTTAAGAGAAGGAAACGTGAACATCCAAGCTACTCAGGTAGGAGGTGTGAACATGATCCCCTCTTTAATAAATATGGGTACCTCTCAGTTTTATTCTGCCAGTGGGCTGAGAAATTCCACAGAGATCCATGTAGAGTTTTTAACCCAAGAAGGCTGGGCCCTCCAAATGGCATCTGTCCAAAGCCTGTACATTTGGTCTCCTCAAAAGCTTCTGAGATCCAGATAGGCTAGGATGGAGGTCAGTGAGCTTGTCATCTATGTCCTGGTCCACAACTGGGCAAAGTCCCTCTGGATCTGACTTCTTGAACGAAGTGATCCCACAGTTAGCACCAGCAGGAGAAGGCATGAAAAGGCTGAAAGCATTTGCTAGTTGGTTGCACAGGAAGCCCCTGCAGGTGACCCACCTCAATCATGAATTAGAAAACAGTTCAGAGGGTTGGCATGTCTCTGTTCAGCTTCCGGGTCCCTCTACTTGACAACACAGAGTAGGGGTTTGGTCCTTAGCCAGTAGGGCTTTGTGTTAGACAAGGCTCCATAGAGAACAATGGGAACTCTTCAAAAGACCACGTACCCATCTTTGACCAATATGAGAACAACACAGTGCATGCAACTCTCCTTCTCCGTCCCCCACCCTGAGTGATTAGAGATGTAGCCTAACTATCAAGAACTGTGAAGGGTGTGAGATTGTACTCTACCTTAATGTTAACAAGTTAGCATGCTACAGTGTCATGGATGCTGGTAGAAGACATGAAACTCCTGTGCCAGAGACGAAGGAGAGTGTATTATTCACAGCAAGAAGAGTAGTCACAGCATCGGTATTTATACCAGTTCTCTGAGCCCCAATTCCCAATTCCCATAGGGCAGCGTGAGGATGGCCAGATCCCTGTGCATAGAATGGGTTATATTACTGGATAGGAACCCTGAGCATAGGGAACCTGAATCTTTTATACTGGATAGTGAGTATGTCTGCCCTCTGTTTTGGAGAAGATACTATCTCTCTCCTTCCAAGGCTGTTCACTGTACCAGCATCTTTAAGAAGACTGTCTAAATTATCACGATTTCATTCACATGTGGAATTTAAGAAATAAAAGAGAGGATTATCAGGGAAGGGAGGGAAACTAAAACAAGACGAAAACAGAGAGGGAGACAAACCGTAGGAGACTCCTAACCATAGGAAAGAAACTGAGGGTTGTGGAGGGGAGGGGGATTAAGGTGATGGGCATTAAGAAGGTCATGTGATGTAATGAGCACTGGGTGTTATAAAAGACTGATGAATCACTGACCTCTATCTCTGAAACTAATAATACACTGTATGTTAATTAATTGAATTTAAATAAATTTTTATTTTTATTTTTTTTAAGATTTTTATTTATTTGAGAAAGAGAGAGAGAGAGAGCATGAGAGGAGAGAGGGTCAGAGGGAGAAGCAGACGCCCCACTGAGCAGGGAGCCCGATGTGGGACTTGATCCTGGGACTCTGGAACCATGACCTGAGCCGAAGGCAGTCGCTTAACCAACTGAGCCACCCAGGCGCCCTAAATAAATTTTTAAAAACCCCAAAAATACAAAATAAAAAGACCATGTACAACAGCAAGGCAGGTAATGCCTCATTCACTCACAAGGTGTGGAAAAAACTAAAAGACCCATAAAAAAGTGCCTCCCAACAATATATTTAACTCCCCTGTCCACCCCCCGACAAAGTGACTGCAGATGGTAGCCTACCCAGATAGAGTCACTTTGCACACTCCATCTAATAGCAATTCTACTGGTGGCAAGAAACAGACATTTGTAGATCACTTTCTGTTTTTCAAAGTATTTTCACCTAGAGCTCCTACACCACTGGATTTAAAGAGAGCACAAGCAGGGGGAGCGGCAGGCAGAGGGAGAGGGAGAAGCAGGCTTCCACTGAGCAGGGAGCCCGATGTGGGGCTCGATCCCAGGAGCCCGGGATCATGACTTGAGCTGAAGGCAGATCCTTAACCAACTGAGCCACCCAGGCACCCCTCTAAATTGGTCCTCTTGCAAGAAGGGATCCTCACCAAAATAAAAATCAGTGCCCCCCCCCTTTTTAGAGGGGGTGGAGTGCAGCAGAGGGAGAGGGAAGGACTCTCAAGCAGGCTCCACACCCAGTGTGGAGCCTGACGTGGGGCTTGATCTCACAACCCTGAGATCATGACCTGAGCAGAAATCAAGAGCTGGATGCTTAACAGACTGGGCTGCTTTTTTATAGAGGAGAAAGTGAGTGATGCTCTAGGAGGGTGAGGGGCTCATCCCAGGTTGCTAAAGGAGGACGGGAATTCATAGCTGCTACTGCTCCCTCCAGCTCCCTCCAGGGCTTCTCCATAGAGGAGAGCGGTAGGGATCAGGTCAGTAAGAGTGAGTTGGGAGACTGGGAGTCTCCTAGGCTAAGCTGTTTCTTTCTTTTTGTATCTCCAGGATCAGCAGAGCGCCTGGCATATAGCAGCAGTCTGTAAATATCATTGACTTAAATTGTATAGAATTGGACCAAGAGGGAGGTGAGGAAGACAGGAGAAGTCAGGCAGAGGGGCAGACAAGAAGACAATCTACACATGTCATGTGGCTTTCAGTGGAAATCTCATGGTCTGGTTGGTCCAGTGAAGAAAGAACCATTACGGGGCGCCTGCGTGGCTCAGTCAGTTAGGCGTCTGCCTTCAGCTCAGGTCATGATCCTGGGGTCCTGGGATCGAGTCCCACATCGGGCTCCCAGTTCAACGGAGAGTCTGCTTCTCCCTCTGCCTCTGCCCTGCTTATGCTCTCTCTCTCAAATGAATAAATAAAATCGGAATGGAGGGAGGAAGGAAGGAAGAACCACTACTTCAGGGCTGAGTATAAGCAACCCAAAAGGCAAACAGTCTTCTCTGGACAGATCTGTATGGGTTCTAGAGAAATGGAGAACCAGGACACCAAAGAATACATTCCCACATACTGAGCATTTGTCATACATTACCTCCCATGCTCATAACAACAATAATAGCTAACATATGCAGAGCACTTGTTAAGCACTCGGGTCTCACAACAACCCCATAAGGCAGGTAACTTTGTTAAGCACTCCCATTTTACCAGATCAGGAAAAGTCACTGAGAGGTTAATTTGTCCACATTCACACAGATAATAAGCAGCACAGCCAGGATTTTCCTGATTGCAAACCCCCTTTCTTTTTTCTAAGCCCCAGCATTCTGGGCGGGGAAACATAATCCATCAGTGACTGCAGATTGGCCCTTACTCAGTGAACAAACACATCAGCAAACATGTCCTCAGCACTTTCTACGTGTAAGACACGGCACTCAGAGATGCAGGGGATCTGAAAGGACAGAAAACAGAAAGGTTGCCTCATTCTCACAACCTTAAAAAAGGCTGATGTCCAGTGAGAGAGACAAGCCCGACCTCCCTGGAACCCAGGATAACCATGAGGGGCAAAATATAATCAAGTTGTGTAAGAGGACCATGGATATAAAGGAAAATCTGTGAGAAATAATGCCCAATTTGTAATCAGAAAAATCACTACTGGCCTGCCTGGGTGGCTCAGTCGTTAAGTATCTGTCTTCCGCGCAGGACATGACCCCAGGGTCCTGGGACCGAGCCCCGCACTGCACTCCCTGCTCCGCGGGGAGCCTGCGTCTCCCTCTCCCGCTCCCCCTGCTTGTGTTCCCTCTCTCGCTGTGTCTCTCTCTCCGTCAAATAAATAAATAAAATCTTAAAAAAGAAAAAAGAAAGAAAGAAAAATCGCTACCACACATTGTTATATTTACATCCTTTATTTCACTTGATTCCCACAAAAGCCCTGCAAGGTACATGGGACAGGTCATTATTATATTAATTTTTAAGAAAAGAAAAAAAACCAGGATTCAGGGAATATGAGGGATGGGGTCCAGGGTCATGCACTAAGAAACAGAAGAACCAGGGCTTGGGCTCACTTTCTGACTCTGAGCCATTGCCATGTGCGCTAATGATTACAGGGTTGTCACAAAGGGTCAATGGCGGGGCACTTGGCTGGCTCAGTCCGAAGAGAATGCGACTTCTGATCTCGGGTTCGTGAGTTCGAGCCCCAAGTGGGGTGTTGACATTACTTAAATAAATAAAAAACTTAAAAAAAATTGTCTGTGACTATGGATTAGAAATGACCACAGGACCATGCAGGCAGAGATCCTGTCAAGACAGAGAGGGCTCTGGGTATCACTGAACTGAAAATACCAGGGGTGTTCTGAGCAGACAAAGCCTTCCTGGAGGAAGTTAGGCTGGGGCAGGCCATAGGAAGCCATGGTGGCGAAGCATTCAACCCTTCCTTCACTCCGTCGTTCCACGTTTACCAGCATGTACTCAGTGCCAGGCACTGGGGGGACAGAGATGAAATGAAAAAGACTTAGTCCCTGCCATCAGAAATTTCACAGTCCACGAGAGAGAGAGATTGACAGGTTGCAATACCAAGTGGTAAGTTCTGTGTTACGATCCCGTACCTGAGGGGTTCATAGAGGGCTTCAGAGAGGATGTGGCACTTGACCAGTGTTTGGGAAAAGCAGAAGTTTGCCAGGTGGAGAACGATGGGTCCAATCCCAGCGGCAGGAGATTCAGACCAATGGTCATTTTCTGGCAAAGTCTTGCCCAAGTGTCCCCGGGCTGGAGAGGGGATCCTCACCACACCCCTGTGCTCTGTGTGGCAGGGGGGCCAGACTGCGCTGATGCTGGGAGTCAGCCACGACCGGGAAGACATGGTCCAGGCGCTGCTGAGCTGCCAGGCAGATGTGAACCTGCAGGACCACGAGGGATCCTCGGCCCTCATGCTGGCCTGTCACCATGGCAATGCCGACATGGTGCGCCTGCTCCTGGCACACCCCGCCTGCGACAGCACCCTGACCGACAAGGTGAGACTTCCAGGCAATTAACAAGTAGGTGTTTCACTTCCCTTCCTGAAAAACGCCTGGCCAGCCGGCAGAATTCCAGGGACCACGTGACCCTGGGATCATGACCTGAGCCAAAGGCAGACGCTTAATCGACTGAGCCACCCAGGCACCCCTGGACACGTGCTTCTTAAATAAGCGTCTCTGTCAGTTGATGGTGATGACAGTAAGGATGGTGGCCAGCATGGACCCAGTACTTGCTCAGCTCTGGGCACTGCACGAAGCACAGACTGCAGACCTTGTCATTAAAACCCCACAACAGCTTTTTTTGTTTTTCTCTGTGGATGCCATCCATGTGCTCATAAGGAAACAAAATCCCCGCGGGGTTATGGAAAAAACACACCCCCCCCCCCCCCCGCCATCACACAGCTGGTGCAGGCTAGCTCCGAGTTCCTCAGAGTACTCTCAGGAGCCAGACCCTTTCCATGCATTAGCTCACTAATCCTCTCGATAATCTAGTGATGTAGGACACTTCCATCCCCATTTTTACTGATAAGGAAACAAGAGACCTAGAGAGTTTATGTAGCTGTCCTCAGGTCACAAGCTGCTGGTTCTCGGAGCAAGGATGCAAGCCCAGGTTTGACTTCAGTGGCACTATAATGTAATGCTTTAAACACACTTCCCTGTACTTTCTTAACATCCACAGTTTGCAGGGGAAAAGCCTGGAGAAGGGAAGAGTCCCCTCCCTGCCCAAGGGGCGACCCTCTCACCGGGCCATATCTGAACTACCCGAGATTGTTCCATCACTGATTCAAGCTGCTGGGTCCCTCACATCATACCTGGGCAGCACGCACCCTGGTCCAGCAGTCTTCAGTGCCCCTGAACCCCACTCCGCCCAAAGCCATTTCTGAGATAGAGAGCACGGACCCTCTGGAAATGCATGTGGGAACAGTGGTGGGTTGCTGGAAAAAAGAGCCTCCTGTTGCAAACATTATACAGTCAGACAAAGGATCTGTGTTCATGAACTCCCTGCAGGGTTGCCCTGGGGCAGAAAGAGGCAGCCCCCCCCCCCCCCCGCCCTTTCTGGAACAGGCCCAGGGTCCTCCTAGGAGGGACTGTTGCCCCAGGGAAGCCTGAAAGGGCAGGCCTGCGGGACAGAGGGCATGTCCCTGGTCAGCTGGGATACTCAGGCGGTGAGTGTGAGAGCATCTCCTGGACACCTCTGTCCACATCTGTCACAGGTTAAGAGATAGGTCAGTGACTGCTTTCTGGAGGTGGAGGAAAAGCGCAGTGAGGGCTCTCTTGTAAGCTGGACAAATCGAGTGATTGCTAGAAGCATGGGCTCTAGACACTCGTAAGTTTGAAACTGGGTTTAGTAACTGTGACTTCAGGCAGGTCATCTAACCACGCTTAGCCTCTGCAAATGGGGAGAGTCATAGACTGTACCTAAATATGGTAATATTTGTAAAACACGTATTTGACATCGAGCAGATGTTCAGTTGCTGGTAACAGTTATTGTCATGAATAGGTGAGCAGAGACAGCTAATCAGAAGCAACCAGCACAAGAAAGAGTAGGGGCTTTGGTGTTTGCAGGCAGCGTCTGGAGGGCCTAGGAGGATGAAGGTCTGGAATTAGGGGAGCAAGTCAGACAAGAATAGCCACCAAAGGGAGAAATGGCTCTCACTGAGGGGTGATTCTGCTCTCCAGGGGAGATTCAACAATGTCTGGAAGACAGTTTATTTGCTGTATTGGGGGAGGAGGGGAGGCAGGGGATGCTGCTAAACATCCTAACGATAAAGAACTACAGATCATCTGGCCCAATACATCAGTAGCTGTGGAACTCTGGCATGGGTGAGTGCTGAAGTCCAAGCAGGATTGGACCACTGTCCCGGTCAGTGCTGGATCAGGAAGAGCCTGACCAGGGTTGAGGACCAGGGCGGGGCCAGAATCCTGGGAGGGAGGAACAGGGCAGCTACCCAGATGGTGGCCAAAGTCCATCGTAGTGGCAGGTGAGAGGGTTAGGGGATGCTCGGCGAGCACAGGGGTGCCCAGGAAGTGCTAGCAGCAGGCCCACAGAGGGATCTAGACCCTACTGATGGCCCACTCACCTGCTGCCTGCTTGGGTGAGGGCTGACTCAGGATTCACACCCCAATTTCCCAAAGTTAACTTGCATGAGACATTTCAGAGGGACCAGGGAACTGCCGACGGAGGCCCTACTGAGCACCAAGCCCTATTACTCCAGCTTTACCCTGAAGGGTGGGGTCCGGCCCTTACTGTGGTCACCCAGTCGTTTCAATGTGCACCTTCCCTATGGGGACTTAGACGCAGGTTTGGATGACTTGATAATTTCCTTGGAAAACTGAGCAAGAATTCCGTACTGAACTAGGTTTCTCTAATCCTACCAATATTTACAGGTTGGGATATAAATGTGGAACCCCCAGAACAGCCAGTAAGGCCTTTCTCTACGTTTGGAAGGTAATTTGAGAAATCAGTTACCCAGCCTCTTGGGGGCTGCCCCAGGAATGAGGAAGAGGAGGTGGTGGGCACAGTGCTCTGGGCTCTGAGGCTCACACTTTGAAGGGCTTGTTTCAGCAATGCCTCTAAAGTACCCATCAAACTGAAAACTTCCTAAGGCAGAGACTATGCCTTGCTCCTTTTTGCCTGATACATAGTAGGTTCTTGTCATATTGAAAGACAGCACCACTACTACACACAGATACGCGCGCGTGCGTGCACACACACCTCCACACACAGGTGTGCTGGCTGCCTGAGCCCCTCCCATCTCTTCAGTCTTCAGTGTTCCCAGCTGGGACTGGCCAGGTGGGGTTCCCACTGGAACCACGCACTGTCACCTTGTTCCCAGGACTCTGGCAAGGGCATTTGAGGGATACACCCTCCCCAGGTGGTCTCTCTGGCCACACTTTCTGAGCTGAACGGGGTCCCCCACTCTCCAGGTCTGCAGGTGAGAAGCCCACAGATGCAGGCTGTCACCTCCTGATGGCCCTGCTCAAAGATGCATGTGTCCCCTAGGACTGGCCCATGGCTCTTTCCCATAATCATAGTAATCACACCATCTCCGCCTCATAGAGCCTCAGGGTTGGCAAAGCACAGTGATGGAAACCAGAGTACAGGGGGACAGGCCTGCCAAAACCCAGGCCTCTCTCTTCCATCGAAACTCTGCAGGCTGCTTTTAGAAGACTCCTCTGCTTAAGGTCTTTGCTTGATTCCAGCCTAGGAGAGTACTCCTTACCAGCTCCTTTGCTCAGGTTCATCATCAGCTTGAAATGAATACCTCTTTGTTATCATCCAGCATTCCTTCTGTCAACAGTGCTCACTGGGTGCCGACCAAAGGGCAGGCACTGGGCCAGGTGCTGGGATGTTCTTGCTGGGCTGGCAACCACAGGCGAGATCTCGCGTCTGACCTCATGGAGACCGAAATTTATCAAACAGCTCCACAGATACCAACTTAAAAATGGTGGTGAAAGGAAGGTACAGAGAGTCATGAGGCATTTTCAGGAAAAGAAACTCTTATGTTTGATGAAGCCCATGCACATCCTTCGGGGTCCTACTGAAACACCACTTCCTTCCTCTGCTCCCTGAACCCCAACACACACACACACATACACACACACACACACACACACATACACACACAGCACCATCCTCTCCCCTGAGCTCACTCGGTTTCTCTTCTGGTATGTCTGGCTCTGTGCCATGCATTATAGTGATTGACAAGTGTGTGGAGCCCCGAGGGCAGCTGGACTCCATCCTCATGAGACTGAAGAGCTCTAAGCTGTGTGTGAACACCCCCCAACTGCTTCCGTGGATTCTCATATTTCAGGAAGTAATTCCACTCATATACAATAGGGCAGAGAACAATCCAACGGGGTCTTGGGTGCCCCCCAACATATTAAATCCATGAGTAGTTATGAAGCAGAATATAAAAATATTCACACTCCCTGGGCTACATAAGGGTCATATCGGGTTTTGCCTCCAAATGAATTACCAAAGAAGTGGTTTTGAAGCTGTGGGATTTCAGAATTCTAGAATGGGACTGAAGAGACCACGGCTGCCATCACAGAGCTCAGCGTCTGCTGCATTGAGTCAGCCTTCCCCCTCACTCCTTTTTTTTTTTAAAGGTTTTATTATTTATTTACTTGACAGAGAGAGAGAGAGAGAGAGAGAGAACATGAGCAGGGGGAGCAGTAGAGGGAGAGGGAAAAGCAGACTCCTCACTGAGCAGGGAGCCCAATGCGGGGCTCGATCCCAGGACCCTGAGATCATGACCTCAGCCAAAGGTAGATGCTTACCCAACTGAGCCACCCAGGTGCCCCTCCCCGTCACTCTTTGTAGAGAATGGCCTGTGTTGTTGGCCGAGAGCCCCTCTGAACACCTCTTCTTTAGACAGTGGGCCTGGCAGCTCCCTGCACAACAGCAGTAACGTAAAAAGCACCGTGGCATCCTGCATCAGGTGTAAAAATGTGCATGTGCTTCTATGCTGTAGACCCACTTCTCAGAGTTGGTCCTTAGGAAATAACTAGAAAGGGGGAAATGCTTTCTGCACTAAATCTGTGATGGTGCAGACCTGGAAACAACCTAAGTCTCCAATAGAAGAGAAAGAGTTCAGTAAGTTATGGAATATTACACAGCCAATAAGAAAAAAGTATATGTTATGAAGACTGTGCAAGAACAAGGAAAAATCTTCTAGTATGCCATGATACGTTAAAAATAAAAGCAGGTTCGGGGCGCCTGGGTGGCTCAGTTGGTTAAGTGACTGCCTTCGGCCCAGGTCATGATTCCAGGGTCCTGGGATCAAGCCCCGCATCGGGCTCCCTGCTCCACGGGAAGCCTGCTTCTCCTTCTCCCTCTCTGCCACTCCCACTGCTTGTGCTCTCCTGCTCTGTCTCTGCCAAATAAATAAATAAAATCTTAAAAAAAAATTAAAAAAAAAATAAAATAAAAGCAGGTTCAAAACTGATATGTACTATCACTCCTCTTTAAAAACCAACAACAAATTTGCACAAGAGAAAAGACTAGAGGGAAATACACCAAAATGCTAACTTTCATGAAGGTCTCGGTAATGGAAAAATGGAAGAGTTATTTTTTTCCTCTGTTTTCCAGTTTAAAAAAAAGTATTAAAAACCATGTGGGAAAAACCAACCAATCATGTGACACTTACTTCCATCACACAGATTTCCCAGAAGTGACTGCTGTTTCCTTGGAAGGCGACCCATTTTTCATGATCCTCATGCCATTCCAATCTCCCCCTCTCCTAGGGTCTCTGGATGCTTGGAATAGACTTTGATGCCCCATGCCTACTTCCAACTCACCCTTCTCTAGGGCAGGAGGCAGACAGGATAAAATCTGTTTCTCTTTTTCTCTCTTCCCTGCAGGCTGGCCGAACAGCTCTGTCCATCGTTCTGAAATCACCCGCCCATGTGGAAATTGCAGGGCTTCTGCGGGCCCACGCAGAGCAGGGCAGGTCCCTGGGGCCCTAGGGGCTAAGGAAGAACTGGCAGCTGGAAACAAAAGGCTCCTTCTCTGGACTCCTTAGCCCGTGGAGAGGGCATGGGTCACAGCCAGAGGGCCACCATTCAAGAGAAGAAACTATGTCAAATATGCACATACATTCCTGTTACATAATTCTGCTCATTAGAACGCTTTGTAGTTTTTGCCTTAGGTCAAGCCCCAAAACTACGCAGGCTGCAGAGCAGGGTATAAGGTACAGGGTGCATCCGTGTTGTCTAAAAAAATCCCAAATATCTTCAGCCTTGAATTCCTCATGACTCTATTCTTTGTAGCACTGTGTAGAAAGCACATAGGCAGGAGCACATTAGCCAAGCAATACTTTTTACATGGAATTTTAAAGTGCACCACCTTTTTGTTTTGTAATCAGGTATATGAATATGTCCCATTGAATATGCATGTGTGGAGAGGATTGGGCGGGGGTGGGGGGGCGGGGGGTGGGGGGAGGTGGATTTAAGCAGCCACCCTGGCAATCATTCTCTAGAGGACCCTCAGAATCACCACATAGACAGCTGAAACTGAACAAACCACATACTTTAAGTGGGTTTGTTTAGCTTGGGTTGACAGAGAAATCCTAAATTTGGGCAAAGTAGGAAGAGCCTATGGGTGTCAATACCAGATATACAGTCTTTACCATTTCTGAGTCATTAAGTGGCTCCAATTTGTGCCAGGGAAATTGGAATTAATTAGGAAATCCAATCAAGTAAAGCACACCACGTGTATTTAGGCAGAGTCCAGTTACATCAGCTATTCTGAATCTATGAAAGAAACAAGTGGGAGTGAGCATCCTCCTGGGGAAAGGTTGTTGTCATCCGGAAGCCACCACACTTCCTCTGTAGCCATATCCATGGCCTCAGGGGAATCCTGGCTCCTGTCCCCACAGAGCCCTTGTGTGAACTCTGTGCCCCCAAGAGGCTTGGAGGTTTCTGAGGCTCCTGGTTGCAGAACCTGTCAACCTGGGCTGTGGCAGGAGTGTGGGAGCTGGGCTGGGCAGGGCCCCCTCGGCTGACTGCTCTCTCTGCCGGACAGTTCTTTCTTAAAACTTCCATAATCCCAGGGGTCCACGTGTGCATGGCTTCTATTCAGTAACTCACACAAGGTTATCTATTAATTTGTTCTTAAAGTCTCTTCTGCAAAAAAATCCTCCTTATATAAAAAGAAAGACATCAAAGTTTGGTGAGCCTTGCACTGGAAACTCAAAAGCTTGAGTTCTCATTTTGACTTATATGCCAATTTGCTTGGTGCCCCTTGGGTGAGTCACAAAATCTCCTTGGGCCCTGGTTTCATCATCTCTAAGAAAGGAAATCATTATACAACCTACCTCCTAGGGGTGTTGTACAAGGAACAGCTGAACGGAAGTTTTGGAATCCAATTTGTAACCCATAAGGACTGTCTACAGAAATGGCGCAGTGAACTTCTGTACGCTGCTGGGATTCATGAGAGACTCAAAGTCCCAGAGCAGGACACTGACATGTGACAGTGTTGCTCAGAGGTAGAGAGAATGGAGCGAATAATGAGCTAAAAATAGTTTAAGTGGGTTTATTTTGACCTCAAAGCACACTTGAAGAGCAAAAACCCACCTTAAAAAATATTCTAGCCCAGTGCTTCTCAAATTTTGATATGCATACAATCACCTGTAGATCTCGTTAGAATGCAGTAGGTCTGAGGGGAAGGGACCTGAGATACTACATTTCTAACCAGTTCTCAGGGGATGCTGAATCTCCTGGGCCACAACACACTTGGAGTAGCAAGGCTCTGGCCTGGCCTGACTGTTTATGTATTAAAACGCTGCCTCTCAATCTTTTGTCTCAAAGTTGTTTCTTTGCATTTCTGTAGTGGGTTCTTGGAATTTGCATTGTGGGTCTTATTTGTATCAAAGTTCTGCAGACAGCAGTAGGGGGTCTGTGTCCTATGTTGCCAGTTTAGAGTCTATTTTTGTATCTCATGTTAGGATGGCCACTTTCATTTGGGTCACATTATCTTTTAATGATCTTGAGTCCAGCTATCAAAAACAGCTTATTTTTTTTTAAGATTTTATTTTCTTATTTGACAGAGAGAGAGACAGTGAGAGAGGAAACACAAGCAGGGGGAGCGGGAGAGGAAGAAGCAGGCTTCCCGCGGAGCAGGGAGCCCGACGCGGGGCTCGATCCCAGGACCCCGGGATCATGACCTGAGCCGAAGGCAGATGCTTAACGACTGAGCCACCCAGGCGCCCCTCAAAAACAGCTCATTTACCAGAGAAGACAAACTGGTTTGCCTAGGGTTTGAGGCCACGGAGTCACTATCAAAAGGCTTTGTCCATCGTTTCTCAGATTTTTAGTACGTTTCTTTTCATCTTGACTTTGGAATGTGAACACAGGATCTCCCTCCTTATAACTATTCCACTCCGTTGGAATGTCTGAGCCCAGAACACGGTGAGACTGAACAAGCATAGCCTGTCACCCTGTCATTGTCTCTCCAGTATTCATTCAACAAACATGTACTGACACCAGCCAGGTGCCTGACACTGTTCCTTGTGCTGGCTTTTATTTATGTATTTACTTATTTTAGTCACTTCAACTTTATCACTTTTTTAAGATTTTATTTATTTATTTGAGAGAGGGGTGGTGGGGAGAAGAAGCAGAGGGAGAACGACAAGTAGACTCCATGTTGAGCGCAGAGCCCGACACGGGGCTCGACCCCCGGACCCCAAAATCATGACCTGAGCCGAAACCAGAATCAGATGCTTAACGGACTGAGCCACCCAGGCGCCTCTCAACTTTAATATGTTTCTGTTACTGAAGTATGACTGACATACAATGTTATGTTAGTTTCAGGCATACAGTGTATTAATTCTATACATTACTTGATGTTCACCATAGTAAGTGTAGTCACCATTTGTCACCATATGACATTATTACAATATTATGAACCATATTCCCTATGCTGTAATTTCCATCTCCCTGACTTACTTATCACTGTAAGTTTATACCTCTTAATTCCCTTCATCTGATTTGCCCATCCCTTCTTTTTTTTTTTTTTTTAAGATTTTATTTATTTATTTGACGGAGAGAGACACAGCGAGAGAGGGAACACGCAGGGAGCCCGATGCGGGGCTCGATCCCAGGACCCTGGGATCATGACCTGAGCCAAAGGCAGATGCTTAACGACTGGGCCACCCAGGCGCCCCTTGCCCATCCCTTCTTAACATCACTCATCGTCAGGGAAATGCAAGTCAAAGCCACAATGAGATACCAACTCACACCAACCAGCATGGTTAGTATCAAAAAGACAAGTGTTGACAAGGATGAGGAGAAGAGCGAACGCTCTGGCTCTGTTGGCAGGAATGTAAATCAGTGCAGCCACTCTGGAAAAAATTAAAAATAGAAATACTATATGATCCAGTTATTCCACTACTGGGTATTTGCCCAAAGAAAACGAAAACATTGTTTCAAAAAGATACACTGGCAGTGGCTTTAGTCGCCCCTTAGAAAAACCATGTCTAAGGTTACCATGTTCCCAAACCCAGGCTTACCAAAACGTTAAGCCAAGGCTCCACTGATTAATACATTTGTCAAGTGCCTGACAGCACAGCCGCCAAGCAACATAAATCAGGCTTGCTGGGGACAGATATGAAGCTTAGGCTTGGAAAGAGGCCCACAGATATCTTAGCTTCCCTCACTGCCTTCGTGGGGCGTACAAACTGTTTTTGGAAGATAGGACACAGTGCCAATAGTAAGGAATAAGACCAGGCAATATAATTCATTCCACAAATATTTCTATTTTTCTTTCCTTTTTTTTTTTTTATTTTAGTGGGGGAAGGGCAGAGGGACACACACAGAGAGAGAATCTTAAGCAGGCTCCAGGCGCAGCACGGAGCCTGACTCGGGGCTTGATCTCAAAACGTTGAGATCACAACCTGAGCTGAAATCAAGAGTCGGACGCTTAACTGACGGGGCCACCCAGGCACCCCTTCCACAAATATTTCTAGAGTGCCCACTGTGCGCAGGCACTGGGCTCACGTTAGAGATACCGTGCCTCAGGCTTCCACTTGGCCATCTACTTAGGAAAACGGAATGGTGAGAAGGAAGCCCAGAATGCTGCGGGGTACTGCTAAGGGCTACCAGAGCTGGTCTTGGGAATCCGAGGAAGGCTTCCTAAAGGAAGAGGTATCTGAACTGAAAATCTAAAGATTAGTGGATGTTTGCCAAAAAAGGAAGAGAAGGGAGAGGCAAGGAGAGGCAAGAGTGTGCCAGGTAGAAAGCAGGACTGCCAAGGCTGAACGATGGGACAGCAGGCATTTGGGGACCTTCACTCAGTTCAGTAGGACTTCCGTGTAGAGTCTGAGTGCGATGCTGGGATCAAAGGGTGGATTCGGAAGAGATGAGACTGACTATCCATGAGGACAGATGATAAAGAGCCTAAAGAGTCTTTGTTCCAAAGGCAATGGCAAGCTGTTGAAAAACAGACTGACAACCAAGAAACTGTCAACCCTCATCAAACACAGATTTCTCAGGGACCTGCTGTCATCCAAGTACTGTGTTTGGGGCTGGGGACATACTGGTGGGCAAGTTAGACACAGAACTCAGTTTTGCAGGAAAGAAAGACAAATCCATCATTCTGGTGCAAGATGATGTGTGTTGAAACTGGGAAAGTATGAGGTGCTATGGAGACACGTGGGTGGGCCCCTCAGCCTAGTCTGAGGGTGGGAAGGGGGTCCAAGAAGGCTTCCTGGAGTAGTGAAGCTATCTGAAGGATGGCGAGGTATAGCCATGCCAAGAGGAGCTGAGGAAGAAGCATGCAGAAAGCCTCAAGGCAAGAGAGAACATGGATTTGGAGCATTAAAAGATCTTCAGTGTTCCTGGAGTAGAAAACAAAAACAAAAACAAAAACAAAGAATAGCAAGAGGAGGCCAGAGAAAAAGCCACCATAACAAATTTGAACTTGAAGGAACTAGGGAAGCGGGACATGCCACTCAGATCTACATTCTAGAAACAGCACTTCACTTTGGGGGCACGGGTGACAACTGTTCAGCAAACACCTGTGGCCTACCTATTGTAGGTGCTAGGCTCCAGAGTTAGTGGTTTGGTAGCGGAGATGGACACAGGCTGACAACTGTGCTGTAGGATGAGCGTCTGAATCGTGCTGTGGAGACCACCGCTGTCAGAGCGAGTCAGGGAAGCCTTGCGGAGGACGAGGCTTTTCTGCTAAGCCATACAGGGGTGTAGGAGTTTGCTCGGGCACACTGGACAGAACAGCAGCTGTAAAGGTGTGGCGTAGAAAGAGAATGGCCTGTCTGCGCAGTGGAGCGAATTCTAGAATCACTTCAGTTTGGGTCACCTTGTGGAGATGCCCAGACAGGAGACTTGAGAAGGTCTGTAGACACATCTCACTTGTATGTTTGAGATTAGATATTTCGACTT